GTAAACATGGCATTGCACCAAGTGACGCGATCCGTTTTTTAAGCCTCAGTCAAATTGTGTGAGATCCACCGAGAGCACAGCTTTTTCACACCCAAATGTTTGTGTAGTATTGATTGTATTTGACTCATGCCTATGCCTAAAGATGCCCGAATCTCATGGTATGTCACACGCCTGTCTATTTTGATATACGGCGCACAGCATCGATGTTTTTGGTGTTCACAGCAGTGGACAGGCGACCACATTTGAATTTTGCAAACCAGCTATAAATAGTCGTCTTGCAAGGTGCTTCAACGCCAAAAGCAGTTTGAAGCCGAGCGAAGCTCCGCTGAGCTGTTAAATTACACTTAAAGTCGTAGAAAATCATACTACGAAAATTTTCACGAGTTAAATCCATGATGATGTAGACAACCAATTTCTAAAATGACGCCACAATGTAAAAACAAGTGACGATCAGATGAAACAAACTGTATTCTACAGCCAAAGAGTTCCATTTTCAAATGTTGTAATTACTTTTTAAATATTGTTTATGTATGTGGCCAGTTCCGGAAACATATAGTGCGCCCCAGGTGCAGGCGAAGAAAATTTGACGCAGATCCGACGTCGACAAGAGCTCGATGGCGATTGACGGGTCAATTTGCAAATTATTAAATACAAAGATCGAACACAAAGAAAAAAGGAGAAATATCTCCATATAAAAATAATGTGAAATGTATCTAACATTTTGTTCTTAAATAATTCAAACGACTTTTATTCTAGTCCGTTTTCAGCATTTTGTATGAACGACTAAAATACATCCTATCGGGTAACACGTTAACACATTCTTTAGATATGTGGTAATTTTTTTCCCACTAACCTTAGCGGCTGGAGGGACCGGAGGATATCTAGCTTAAAAATATAGTCCAACCTTTTTATAACTTTAGACGCAATAGAGCTCCTTGTGAAAGAGTTCGTCCAAGGACGTAATACTACCTTACCTGTTTCTGCCGCCAAGCAGTAATGTGAGTATTACCGTGTTCTGATTTTGGAGGGTGGTGGGGCAGTTACAGGCATATGGGACTTATCAACTTATGTCTCAGGGTGACCGGCGCAGTGGCAGTGTCCATCAGATCTTTGCTATTTAAACTGTTACTGCAACTGACATGGACGGGCGTGTAGCTTACCATTAGGCGCGCGACTTGTTCGTCCCATCACTTGACATTAAAAAAAAACTTTTCTAAATTGTCTCCGATCGGGATGTTCTGAGTAATAAAATAACTGTGCTAACTTTAACCGGAAATACTCTTGAATAAAAATTTTATTTGCATTCGCTTCATGAACAACAGAATTCGTTCGAAATTCAAACAATTGTATTTGTACAAACAACAAAATCAAAATAACACAACATCACTATTCGTTACACGTGTCCCGATCCACTCGTGCTACAAAACTAATATTCATATTGTAGCCGCGAGGTACAGAAGCCTTCAAGGGCCTGCTTTCATGTGACAATTGACATCAAATGTTCGTATAGACGACACAATACTGTTATTTTGACCTACAAGACAAAATAAACATGCAAATGAAAGGAAAGAAAATACATGTAAGGTTTCTTATATAGATTTATTTGTGAATACGAATATGACAAGCAAAACCTTTGTTCCATGATTTAAAAAAAACATAATATATTTACTAAAAATATGGGTTAGATGCTAACAATACTGCTTCGAGGCTGAAATAGGTCACTTAGCCGTGATTTAGTTAGTGGACAGCAGAATTGCAGTGCCCACACAAGAGTTTTAAATAGCAAAGATCTGATGAGCACTGCCACTGCGCTCGTCACCTTGAGACATAAGTCGATAAGTTCCATACGCCTGTAACTACACCACCACCCTTCAAAATCGGAACGCCGTAATGCTCACATTACTGCTTGGCGGCAGGAACAGGTAAGGTAGCAGTACTTCCCTAGACGAACTCTTTCACAAGGAGCTGCTCTACTGCTACTACAATTCGATAACAATCTTTGCAGAATTCGTACCAATCTCCTCAAATATTTCGACTCGTCTTCTCATTAGTACTGCCAAATTAATGTCTATGTTAGTCTTTATTCGCATTACTTTTAAGTTTGTAATCTCGCTTGTCACTTTTTTGTACTCATGTTCCACTGAATGTAAACTGCTTTATACATCCAATAAATAAAAAATAAAAATAATAATAATAAAGAGTATTTAAAACAAAAACAGTTACATTTTTATCCTATCTCCTAGACTGACGAGTTTGTCTAGTATTAGGGGTTAAAGTATGAAATTGCCGTTTTATTGCAATAGATTCTTTGAATTTTCATAGAATCTTCATGGTTTGAGGTTTTCGAATGAAACACTTTTCAAATGGTTTCTGTGATTTTTTTTTTTTTAAATTTGAAACATTTGAATATCGACTTTCAAT